ATTCCGAAATTGGATTTTGGCCTAGAAGGCTCTGGTTTAGATGGGGCGAAAGCCCCGGAGAAATACTGGGTGTTGCTGAGTCCAGCACTTACCCGACGTTTGATTTGACGCTGGAAACTGGCAAAATCAAAGCACATCCGTAAACGGAATGTGCCGACAAAAAACTTGGTAAATCACACACTGGTAGTAGCAGAAAAAAGGTTGTTTACTTTATTAGCTGCAATAACAATGCACCCGTTCTATTCAAGACAGGACTTCGGTTAACAGCCGAACGCGCTAGCCAATTGCGTCACGGAGGCCATGTCTGGATGGTTCCAGTACTCTGTACTACAGTCGCAGTGGTATCAGTTGAGTTTTTGAACTGAGTAGAGCTCATTCTCTCAATTCACTCGTTTTCAGATCAATTTTGTAGATGACGAGTAGATTTAACTAAATATTTAGAACTAATCAGTGTAGTTGTAAATCAGTTCAATTTACTCATTTTTATAGATGAGTATCGGAATTTTTTATTAATGATGATCGGCTGTCAAATATTTGGATACAAGTTTTTCAAACAGTTTTGGTATTGTAATCAAAATGCTAATGGGTCCGTAGTTTTTTTATATTAGAAGTGTCCCCGGATTTGTGGATAGGTACCACATGTAACTGGACTTCCAATATTCTGGAAAGTGACCAGATTTGAGTGAGCTATTAAATATGATATGCAGGGGTCTTGAGAGGATAAAAGAGCAGTTTTTAAGCAAAATAGGATGAATTTTATCAGGACCTGGTCCTTTATAGATGTTCAAGTTATTCAATTCTGTGTATATTTCAGAATTACAGATTGAGAACTCAGATACATTTAAGTAGTTGAAAGAGGGTTTTTCCTCATGCTGTGGTTGAGACTGAACGGAGCTGAAATAGTTTGCGAACGCAGCATTGACCCTCATCTCGCATTTCGCATTATCCAAGTAAAGATTTGATGTTTGGTGGTACATTGGAAGAATTTCTCTTGGCATAAATAAAACTCCAAAATTGTTTAGGGATGTAATTGAGATTCGACTCTAATATAATTTTGGTAACATTGTTTAGATAGCTGTTTACAATGAGAATGTAGATTAGAAAAAATGTTATAGTTATGGGGCGAGGGGGTAGATTTGTAATGTTTATAGGCGATCTTTTTCTGGAATGTGAGACTAATAAGATCCTGGCTGAAACCATTCAGGAAATTTTCTGCTTGCGATTTTTTTCAAAGGAACAAATAGGCCTATTTCGTGATTCAGGATTTCGTAAAGTGTTTAAACCATATCTGTTACTGTTAAGTTAGAAAATATTGTGTCCCAATGAAAGGAGCTGAAAAATTCATTTATAAGGTTATAGTTAGCTGATTTAAAGTCATGATGAAAGGAGTTTGCTTGTGGACTAACTGTACTTGACTTTCTTATTGTCGTCGATTGTGCGTTTTCTGATGGCTATACAGGGTGTTTGGTACATCGATAGATAGTTTTCAATGAGTGATAGTTGGGGTTATTTGAAAGCTGTTTGACCATATTTTAGATATCGCCATTTTTAGACACATAACTTCAGCTACATATTTTTTATTATTCTGATGTAAAATGGATATAAAGGACGAAATATTTATAGATGATGATCTAGATATCCTCCATATCCTAAACTTTTGGGTTGTCTAACAGAGTTTACAGTTTACGAAAGAAGTGATTATTTCCACAATATGGACAATTATGACTCGTTTTTCGAAGATTTCGAGTTACGGAACCTACAGATCCCAACTTCCTGAAGAACATAGAAGAAATTAAATTCATTAATTATTTGTTACTTGATAGATAGGAGAAAGTATATCTTTCTGTTAATAAGTTGGCTACTTATTCTACGGAGAACGCCCCGCTAGATAAGCACTTTTTTGGCGATATGAGGTGTAGTCACTAATCTCAAAAATAAATGGATAAACAATCGTACGGCTTGATTGACTAAACTTGTGCGAAAATTTGGTTGTGCAACGGACAAGCCTAACGCCTGCGGAGTGTCTTACTTTCGAACAACTGTTCTAAATTTTGGAATATCCTTCATTTTTATTGGCTATATTTGGCGCACGCACAGTACATGTATCTACTGCGCACGCTCGTGGCTGTCCCAGTTGTTTACATTATGACCTCGTAAATTAGCAGCATTAGTAGCGTTCTTTGTTTATTTATTTATTTTTGAGATCAGTGGGTGTAGTGGGTAGTGTTATAATAACAGCTACATATAATAGCTAGTATCTAGCCTTTCTAACTGCTTGACGGTCCTATGGCAGAGTAAAGGTGCAGAAGTACATTATTTAAATATGGCGGTACTAAAAGTTAAGCAAAGATAAACCCATAATAAATTCGATCAATCAAAAATCAGAAATAATTATTATCCAAAGTTCACTCCGGTGTCAAGAAAGTGACAAGGAAATTTTAAATATTGGTAAAAATTTATTCAATTACGGTAATAAAGGTTACAGATAAAACTCTATATAAGCCTCCATTTCAACAAAAAGGTAGAATACGGTAGCCATCCATTCTCGACCATTTGACGAGGGAAGTTGCAGATTCCAGCCTAAAATCAAGTCTAGAAGTTCAGTTTTCTTCGTCAAATGTGGAGGTACACGTATCGACTCGGGTGGAACTTGATTCCTGTAGGAATCCTTTATGCTCTATGCCACGCTCCAGGAAAATAGCGTTCTTTTAAAAATGTGGCCTTTTAGGAATGGATTTGTTGAGAGAAACGGCTCCTCGGAAAAGAAACGGCTCCCCGGAAAACCCTAAGTAATAGAAGCATTCCATGAACAATAATTACTATAATCAATGGATTATTGCCTTACGCAACTTTATTTCGTCCAAATAATGCCTGATGGTCGATAAGGTACTTTTTCTTCACGAGAACGGTTATCACAATTGAGGAAAATGGCATCGAGAATCGTGCCTTCTAGTTCAATAATTTAATAATTGCTAATATTTTAAGTAAAGAAACAAAGTCTATTTCATGCAAAATTGTTTAATAAAATTCAGCATACTAGACTTGAATTTTAATTTTTATTACTGAATCCCGAAAACGGATTCCCTAAAAAAAAATATAACTACAACACTAGATTCTACGTAAAAATATCTATCCATAGCAGTTTCCAGCTTTTTTGTATCTCACAGGGTGTTCAAAATATGATATCACCAAAAAGCGCAAATTTTTTATTTCACCCTGTATTTCGTGAACGAAACAAGGTGAAACAAAGGTTAACGGCATTCAAAGTTCCACGAAAAACTGATACAGGGCCGCGAAAACTGCAAAGTTCTATCTCTGCTGATTCGGCAGAGAAACCCTCTGATTACAATCATTTGACACACTATATACAGGGTGGTCGGCCCCAAGGTTGAGCCTAGATATACCTCTATAAATTCCCGAGTAAATTCTTTATAAAATTGAGATAGATTTAGTAACGAGCCTGCACGCATCTCTTGAGATTTCAATCAAAATGCCCAAAAATACATTAAAAGTGAGGTTGGAAGTTATAGAAATTTACAAGTATATCCCATTCACAATTTGTAGTCCAAAGGTACAGGTAAATTCATCACCTTTCCCTATCAAATAGCATTAAAAGGTGATAAATTTTACCTGTACCTTTGGACTACAGATTGTGAATAGACAATACTTCAATGTATTTCCAAATTATTCCCATGTACGTCCAGAGTATTCCTATGTACTTTCAGAGTATTTCGAAGGATTTCCAAATATTTTTAGATTCCCAGAGTATTACCAAGTGTTTCTAAGTATTCCCAGCAAAGTGTACAGTGATCTCTATGAGTGATTCACCTCTCGATTCTAAATATGGAGAAGTCAGAAGCCTGATGGATAGAGAATTTCTTTTCAAATTTTGTTAAATTTTTATTAAATATTTTCTCTCATTTTTTCCGTTTAAATTTGTGTTTATCACGGCTCCTGAATTTCTGTTTTCTTGAAATTTTTCTAGAAATAGAGAATTCAAGAGCCTGAAATAGAGAAAATATTTAAATTATTAGTTGTCAACCAATTTGTTTCCATTTCTCAATGTCTATTGTAAGTTTTCTCTCGTTTTTCTAAGGGTACCCAATTGGATTTTTAATTGCAAAAATTCAATCCTCAATATTTTGGTAACCAAAAGCGGTATTGGAACAAAATTTTAAGGGATTGTAGCTCTTGATAAGGGCTTTCAGTTGGTATTTAGCTGAAATCACGAGCATTTATAGTTTTTGAAAAAATCGAGTTTGAAGGTTTAAACAAAATTTTAACTAAATTTTAACTCAATATCCTGGAAATTTCAAAAGCTACAAAAACCAATTTTGCATGGGTTTATATAGAATTTATTGCTCTTTCCAACGATGTGTAATTGTAGGTCATTTTCTTGAATGTCCTGAATGGCATTAGCAATTATTCATGAGCATGTCAAGATTCCAAAAAATTTGGTGAGCCAAAAATGAGATTTCCTTTTGGATTTTTTTTCTCATCCAAATTTTCAAGAGTTCTGACTAATTTGGACTCGCTGTATCGATTTCTGAAGTCAAAATTGAGAAGAATCAAAAAATAGAAATTTTGAATTTTTTGCACTTTTTGCTAAGGCTGCCCTCTTTGGATTTTTATTTGTAAATCTTCAAGCCTCAATATCTTGGTAACCAAGAGTGGTATTGGTACTAAATTTTCAGGGATTGTAGTTCTTGATAAGGGCTTCAAAATGGTATTTAGCTGAAGTCCCTAATTTTAATAGTTTTTGAGAAAATCGAGTTAGAAGTTTTTAATAAAATGACCAAATTTTAACTTTGGAGCTCAATATCTTGGAAACTTCGCAAGCTACACAAAACATCAACTCATCTATCTTTTTCTTTCAGAAAGTTCTTCTACATCTACATTTCCACCTGCGATCAAATGTCGAAAAAGACTCTTCCGGTGCCTTCTGCCTCAGAACCTCAACAAATCATTTTGAATGAGACAGAGAGAGGCTCAATTCTTACCTTGCAAATTCATCGAGGTCGGAAACATCCCGGCGGCCCGGTGCACGTCCTGGACGTGCGGCCGGCCGCCCATGACGGCACACTGCGAACCCGCCGAAGAATGGTGCACCCCCATCGGTCCGGCGGCCGTCGGATTGTAGCTACGCGCCATCGAAGCGGCGGCGGCCGTGTAACGGTAAGCCGCCTGCGACATTTGACTGCAAGACGTCAAATCGCCGTAAGAGCACGGCATATTGGTAAGACCGGTCGGATCCATGCCGCCTTGAAGACAGCTCGAGTCGAACGATTGATTCAGGTAAGAGTAATCCATTACTACATAAATTCAATCGGGGCTATTATTAATCCAAAAACAAACCGGATTGAAGATATAATCGAATAAGGCTCTATTATCGAATTAGGCTCGATTAAGGGTTGGTTTTTCGCGCGCGCGATTTTTTTCCAAAAGATTATATATACGAAAGCTCCACGTTAGACCTTACTGTCTGCCCGAAATCAAATGATAAGCTTAATTCAATAACCCAGAGTACACCCTTCCATAAAAAGGGGGATGAAGCGTCGCAGCATCCCTCCGAGAGGCGTCGCTTTTTAGCCCGGCCAATACTGAAGCTGCTTCTATAGCGCGCTCGTTTTTGATTGGGGGTTGAAACGTGACGTAGAACCACGAGGGCTCGAAGGGCTGGTTGTCCTAAAGGGTGGCACACGCACACACAAACGGCGAGCCGGAATATTAAAAGGTGCCTCTCGCGAGGACTCGCAAAATTAAATTTGTATTCAGTAAAGCTTATCTTGTTTTTCTTGGGTTTTGCATCAACCGGTCGTCTGGCTGTTGGCGTGATTTCTAGACACCTGTTTCGGTGCTATAGGAAATATAAGGGAGTCGATGTAAATATTTTTCTTTGGCCGGCTATACGTTTGACGTGACGCTATAACCTTTATTTACTTCTTCATGTAAGGATTAAATGAAAATGCAATTAATATAGTTGGCAACGTTGCTTGATGAATTACAGGCGTATTTCTATTGCGGTCTAAGTGCGTGTGAGGGAGAAAGACAGATACATTCCCCCACCATAAATGTATTGGTGGTTGCAGGCTTTGAGACATATCAACACATGTCGCCTTTATTTGTTTTTATTTTTGCTATGTAATACCCATTTCATTTCTCACATTTTGTTCTGGCCAATGAAAATGAAGGAATTTCAAAATTTAGAACAGTTGTTCGAAAGATAAGACACTGCGCAGGCGTTAGGCTGTTCCGTTGCACAACTGTTCGTAGAATATTGACCTCAAATTTTCGCACAAATTTTGCCAATCAAGCCGTATGATTGCTTATCCATTTATTTTTTAGATCAGTGGTTTACCTATTCGAACCCCACCAAGAAACTGATCGTGCTCACTACCTAAGATAGAGCCAATCACAATAAGCCTATAGTAGAGGACGAAGAGGTATATCTTAACAAAAACCAACACGCGAAAAAACGCGCGCGGGCAAATCACAGAATCAGGAAATTGTCCCTCCCAGATACCGGTAAAAAAAGAGGCAACTAACCGATACCTCGTCTCTATCGGACGAGGAAAAGGAAGCAGTCAAAATAGCCGCAGACCGGGATTACTACATACTGATGGGCGCGCTGGAAAAAATTACAAAGCTGGGATCCGAATTGGATAAGGGAATAAAACAGAACACCAGGAGAGGTATGAAAGACATCTTGAAAAGACACAACTACCAGATAGCGCGCATAATTAGAACCAAGGCCACAAGCTGGCTAAGACCCAAAAACAACAGAGCAGAAAATAGTGCCCCAGGTTAACTCGAGCCAGTTACCTATCAATATACAAACAGGGGATAATCCAAAACCATCAACCAGGAATGCGGCCACGCAGACAGATCCCGTGGACTCAGGTGAACGATTAGTAGACACCCTCCATGGAAAACAGTCCTTTGCAGATTTCACAAACCTAGAGCACCGCAAATGGGCAAAGGAACTATTTAAGAACACGGAAATTAAGATAGACAATCCCCTAGATACAAGACTCAGCGTGGTGAAGGTAGTATTGGTGATGCCAACGGATTATAGACATGAAGGAAAGCATAGAGCTCTTCTACAAAAAAATATACCCGAAACTCGCGAAAATCACTGACAACTTCGGAACAAATAACCAGGTTAAGGGGAACCAATCAGGCGAGAGACCAAAAGAGCATAAGAATCAAACAAGACGATGCGGACATAAAGCTATGGAAAACGTTAATAAAACCAAGGGGGAGACAAGAAACGATAAGTGGGTGGCCCTCCACTAAATCAAGCGGATTAGCCTCGATAAATTAAGGAAAATGGCCGAAATAATCTTCCATAAATCAAACACATACGTCATAATCTACACAATATCGGCTCAACAAACGGCATAATTGGTCAGGCAGAGGCAAACAGGATCGGCGGTTAACCCAAAGAGAGAAAGGCCGACATACGGATTAAAAAGGTGAAGATTACAAGAAACTGCTGGGAGGTGTCAAAAGGAAAGTCCAAAATACGGAGGGAATCAAAATCTACGTCAAAGGGATGGACGCACTAACAACAAAAGACGAGCTGACGGCAGCGATACAGCGCGATCTCAAGGTGGAGGAAGGAGAGTTCAGCCTAAGCGAGCTAAGGCCAGACCGAAATAACACGCAGGCAATAACGATGCTTCTTCCCAAACGAAAGGCAGAACAGAACAGATATAAACTAACCACTCCGAACTCCGCATAGGGCTCATAAGATGCAGGATAGAAAGAAGAATTCACCTCGAGAAATGCTTTAGATGCTGGGACTATAACCACAATACCAAAGAATGTACAAACAGGCCCGCAACAGGTGCAAGTTATGCTTTCGACGCGGAGAAGAAAGCCACTCTGCCAGGGAATGTAAGAACACGGAAAGATGCCTGATATATCAAAAAGACGATCACAGAGTCAGAGCAGGCAGTGGGAGATGTGAGACGTTGACAGAGACACTAACAAAGCTAAGGAAACTCGAAAGACGAGAGAGCAGGCAAAGACAAAGGATAGAGAATAACAAAACTAGTAACTAGTAAAAATATCTCCAGATTAATTTGGGCAGATGCTATGAGGCCCATAATCTTCTCGACGCTACAGCCAGTCATTTTAGACATTGATGTGCTAGCGATTTTAGAGCCTAGGCTTACACAACAAGGACCGTGGCACACCGACCTAAAAATGAACGCTGCTCTAGGACTAAGGAATAGGGATACTCCATGTCTTGGAAATCTGCGACAGCGCAATGCGAATGAAATCCACTCACAAAAATAGGAGACCTGCTTACTGGTGATTTGAGGAGGTTGCGAAACTAAGACAGACATGCCTTTCCATGAAAAGGAAACTGACTAGAAATAACCGAAGAGACACCACACGATTGAAATATGACAAGGACCAGTACTCAAGCCACAGAAAGCAACTAACAACGGTCATCAACAACGCCAAAAGAAAATGCTGGAGGGACCTCTACGAAGAAATAAAAACCTACTGCTGGAGGGAAGGTTACAAAATCGCCACAAGAAGACCGAGACTAACAGCCGCACACAGCCCTCTAACGATAGAGAAATCCCTGGAGATCACCAAATAGCTTTTCCCGGAAGGTCCAATGGCTGAGTGGGAGATAGCAGAGACAAGAGGCTCGGACTTCCAGGAAGTGACAAGGGAGGAATCATCCAATGCGAGCTCTAAGCTAAAACCGAACAAAGCACCTAGACCGGACGGTGTGTCGGCGGATATCGTGAAAGTGCTAACAGAAAGATACCTTGAACCTTTCCTTAGGATTTTCAATATTGTGGTCGAACAAGGAGCTATCTCCCCTGCATGAAAGAGAGTAAACCTAATTCTTAGGGAGAATCCCAAAAGACGCCTAATGATCTTCAGAAGTTCAGACCGCTCTGCATGCTGAACACAGTTGGCAAGCTACTGAAGCACATAATCTTAGCTAGGCTGAACGAGAGCCTACGGCTATCGGAAACACTGAGCAAACACTAATACGCCAATACGGTTTCAGAAAGGGTAGATCCACCACGTCGGCGATCCAAAATGTACTGGAGATAGCCAAAAAAGGGCTGTGCAAGAAAAGTCACAGGGCACAGACACATCAGGGTACTGGTAGCCCTCGACATAAAAAACGCCTTCAACTCGACGTCCTGGCAGTGTATCGTACAAGAACTGAAGCGGCGGGAAGCAGATCCATACCTGCTAAATCTCATAAAAACTTATTTCGTGGAAAGGTCTATCACAGTGGCTGCGGAGGGAAAAAAGACATCATTCAGCATATCTCGAGGCATGCGTTCCACAAGGCTCTATCCTGGGCCCACCTTTGGGATATAATGTACAAAAACCTTCTGTGACTGAGACTTCTGAACGGGGTAACCCAGCGTACGCGAACGATGTAGCGATGCTAATAATGGATAAGGATTTGGGCGTGATAAATGAAAATATTAAAGCATCTATGACTCGTGTGATAAAGTGTCTGCAGGAAAATCACCTACAGTTGACAAACGAAAAAACAGAGGTCATAATACTTACTTCAAAAAAAGTAGTCCCAGCAATGACCTTCGACATCCTTGGAAAAAAGACAAGCCCAGTGGCTGAGATCAAGTACCTGGGTGTCTGGCTGAAAAAGAAGGATACTATGCTCCGTCGCACGGTCAAATTTATTGTAAGCTGCTCCAGTCTGGAAAGGGGCCTTAAGGCACAAAAAATACCGTGAGATGATAGAGGGACAACAAAGACGCGCCGCGTTGTGAATCTGCAGTGCCAACCCTACAGCTCCTACGGACGCGATCCTGGTAATAGGAGAGACACCCCCTATGTACCTTTTGGCAAACAGGCTACAAGTGTCAAACGCACTCCGCTCCGAGAAAAAGACCGCCAACGTCGAGGCAAAAAAAAGGATGATGCAAATATGGCAAAACAGATGGAAAAGGAGATGGACTTTCAGACTTAAACCCAGCATCTCGGCCTGGATAGGGAGGAAACACGGTGAAACAGACTATTTTTTGACACAATTGCTGACGGGACATGGAAGCTTCCGAGCCGAGACTACACATACACGATAAACAAAACACCAGACAACGAATGTATATATTGCGGAGAAACTGATAATGCTGAGCGTAGCTTCTTTTATTGCAGGCAATGGAATGCTCAACTAGCAATCTCCACAGCAGAAACAGGCCCAATCACCCCAAAAAACATAGTGGCGGAAATGACTAACAGCGAAGAAAATTGGAGCGCAGTGAAGAATGTGGCTAAAGATATACGACGGCGAAAGAGGACGAAGCCATAAAAAATCCCCGAACCCAAATTGACACCATTGCGGATAACAAGAATAAAGGTACACGTGGAGTAGATACACATAAAGGGTGTCATAAGAATACGTGTATTGTTTATGTGATTGCCTATAAGTAGGTTAGGTTTAGGAGAATAGAGTTGTCAGAAGGCAGTGTCCTTGGCGGCCGATTTTCGGACCAGGGAGTAGAGTTCCCCGATAAAACGAATGTTTTGTCCTTGTCAACGTAATCAAAAAGTAAACGAGAATGATAAAGACGAAAAATTTGTTCTCTCAAGGAGCTCTACTCCCTGGAGAGAAGGGACTGGGATTTGAGGTTAGAACCAGTTGTTGTTTATTCGCCTATCCAAAACACGTGACTTTGATAGGCAAAGAAAGATTTTGTGTGCCTCTTGGCGGACATTTTAATTTAGGTTTGACAGCACCTTCGTTAGTCGCCTATCCAAAACACATGACTTTGTCAAGAAAACAAACTATTTGTGTGCCTCTTGGCGGACATTTTTATTTAAGTTTGTTTGACAGCATCTTAGATAGTCTAATTTGGTTTCGTGCACGTGATGTCACTAGATTGACATTGGGGGTAAGACAACCTAACCTTATTCCATTTGTTTATATGGAGTTTGAGTGTCATGCTTTTTTTCTTTTGATATTTTTTCGATGTTTTAATTATATTTATTTACGACTAATGTATAATGTGCGTATTATATTTGTGATTTTGGCAGTATAATGACATATGTTATTCCTCCAGGGATTAATGACGAGTAGCGGGATTAATGGTCATTATTCCACAAAAGTGTCAGTGTCAAACGTGTAGTGCTTGTGGATTTGTATTGAAAATTATGAGACGGATGAAATTTGTTCATTGAAAATCTCAAATAAATTAATTTGTCGTAAATAAAGTAGAGTATACTACTCGCAATAATGGCTATTATTCCCTCGGAATGTTACTCCCTTGCCGCTAACGCGGCTCAGTTCGTAATAATCCTCGGGAATAATAGCTATCATTATTGACTCGTGGTATAATCTACTATTTTGTTTGATTTGGTGTTTATTAGTTTATAAAGACATTTATTTACGTTCATACTGTGTATTCGGCGGCATTGTTTTTACATCCTACAACCGCACAATACCAAGGTATTTCAATTCATTTCAATAAGAAATACATTTTCAAAGAATTAGGAGAGCTAGACGGCGAAATTTCAAAAATACACAAATGTTTAGGTTATTTTACCTCCAAATACCTCCAATGTATTCACGTACCGCACGAAACCCGAAAAACTCTCGTGTTTTTTTAGTTTCTAACTACAAACTTGGTTTTTTAACGTACTGGCGCGGCGTCCTCGTTCTCCCCTGAACCTTAACTTTACGGCGCATTACATGGTTGCAACATTTACTTTTATTCAGTAAACTTTTTTTTTAAAGTTAAGATTCAAAAAAATAATATTTTAAATTGGTGGTTTTCCTCAATATGGATTAGAATTTGTTGCCAGGGTCTTGAAAGTTTCCTAATAGTAAATGTAAGATTTTTAGTCTTTACTCTTTTTAAAATGATCATAACTTTTAAACGATACAAATTAGCGAGTTGCGGTTTATTTTAAAATAAAAATCAGTTCAAAATCCATTGATTTGCATCAAAATATTGATCAGAATTTGTTATCAGGGCTGAGATACAAGGCTTGGAAGTTTCCTAATAGTAAATGTAAGATTTTAGTAACGCTTCTTAAAATGGTCACATAACTTTCCAACAATTCAAATTAGTGAGTTGCGGTTTATTTTAAATTCAAAATCTGCTTAGAATCTATTAATTTGATTCAATTGATTTCTTGAGTTTTGAATTGGTTTCAAGGTGTTTTCAAATAGTTCTTAAAAGTTTTCTATGAAACTCCTATAAGTTCTAAATTGCTTCTTAATTTAATTTAGAACAAATGGCACTTGGTTTCAAAATGTTCTAGAACTTTCTAAGTTCATATTTGTATTTTTCTAAATTTCTTTATAGGATACGTTCCAATCTCTTTCTAAATGCTAGGACTGGGTTCCAGAGTGTCCTGGAACTTGTCAAGAGTCTTCCTAAAACTGGAAAATTTTTGAGTGGTCTAAAATGTCAACATGGAAGATCTAAAAAAAATTTCTTCAAACATACATGCCCTTATTTGTTCTGAACTGTTCAAGAGTTGTTTTAATATGTTCTTCTAAATTTGCTTCAAATGAGGAGTGTACAATCGCTTTAGAATGATTTTCCAAGATTCTAGAGCGTTGTGAGGACTGTTCGGATTAATTTGCCTGGTTTCTGGGGCACTTTAGAGTGGATTTGGACTGTGTAGGTTGTTTTGAATTAATTGTGCTCAACTTCTTGTGGTGTACTCAAAAATTATTCTTCAGAATTGTCTAGAATCTTCCAGATTATTCCTACAAGGAATTGATTTGCTTAAGTTGGAATCAAGCTTTTGACTACCTATCATAGAAGACCAAATTTCTGTTAGTTTGGGTGTTGGAAGCTTTAAGCTATAGTTACAAATCTAAGGTTTAGTTGACAAATTGAGGCTCCTATAAGACAAATAGTTACCCTAAATCCCAATTCAGACCAACTTAATTTGAATCATTGAAGATTAAACTTTAACAATAACCACATTGTTAATGATTGTCGATTTATGCAAATAATTTTATCATCAGTCATTTTGAATAATATTCACATATGAACATATAATTATAATACACCATTATTAAGTATTATTATTAGAAAATTAATTAAAATATTTCATAACAAATTGAATGTCATTGATAGGTATTTATAATGAGTTCGGGAAATGTAAAGGTTATTTTTTGTTTGATAACTAAAAGTCATCAACAAATTTTTCATTAGACTTTTACGTACCTTGTAGACTTTGTAGTTGTTTTTTTTGAGGCATCAATTTCATGGAAAAAAAAAACCATTTGTCGTTTAAAAAACATTCATTTATTATACTGCAAATATCCTAATCATCGATCAAAATTCAACATTTTACTTCATCAGCTTCAAGCTTCGTCAATTTAACAGACTCGGTCCAAAGCTTGGCACAAAACTCTTCAGTCAGTTTACTGGGCCTCCAAACTTGCTTCCCTTCCATAAACGTCTGGCCGGTGACCGATTCAACTTCGGCCGCATGCGCCAAATGAATCAGAGTCTGAGCACCTTCCTCAGGATTCTAAAACAATTCAATTTAAATTTTTATTTCAAGTACAGGGTGACTCAGAGTGAATTTCCCTTTTCGAACGCGTCCTGTACATCCAACTTAATAATTGTGGGGGGTTAGCGCTGGCAATTTACGGCGACTGCGTGCGGATTATCAGTAAACATGGAGCAGTGGTCGAACAAGCAACGCGCGTTTAGTGTCGAGGCGTTTTTTAAATCAAACGATTCCTATGTTGCGGTACGGCGACGTTTTTGTAACCCTTACAATATTCGGCGTATAAGTCAAAAAATTTATTGAAATTATGTGTTCAAAGATTCAGACAAAGTGGTACAATGGCAAATCCGAAGCGTCTCGGCCAATACGAGTCCATCAGAACGCCAGAGAACATTGGGATTGTGCGACTTGCTGCGACTGAAAATCCGAGGCGCTCAATTCGAAAACATGGCGGGACGCTTCTGATTTGCCAATTGCCACTGTACCACTTTGAATCTTTGAACCCACGATTTCAATACATTTTTTGACGTAGCATCACTTATACGCCGGATATGGTTACAGTTACAAAAACATCGCCGTGCCGCGACATAAGAGTCATTCAATTTAGAAAACGCTTCGACCATAAACGCGCGTTGCTCGTTCGACCACTGCTCCATATTTACTGATAATCCGCACGCAGTCGCCGCGTATTGCCAGCGCTAACTTTCCCACAAATATTAAGTTGGATGTACAGGACGCGTTCAAAAAGGGAAATTTACTCTGTATATAATAGTTACCTTTCCAAGGACCCAAACGAAACTGCCTAAAACGAGAGCAGAATAATAACGATTTTCTTTGATTGCCTTGTAGAAAATTGGTGTTCTTACTCCGCTAACTTGTACAGCGTTTGCTGTAACTCCAAAACCTAGAATTGAACTTATTATGTTTATATTATGCTTTTTTAATTATAGGACTCAATTATTACCTTGTAATTTTTCTCCAAAACTTTTAGCAGCTGCAGCACAACAAAGTTTCGAATTGCTATAAGTGCCTCCCATTATCATTGCAGACCGTTTTGTGAAAAAATCATCTTTAGGTGTCAAATTGTCGATGGTGAGGTTTGAAATGTAAGCCATTACAGAACTAGTAAATACAATTCTACTAGGACTGGATTTCTTCAAAAGATCTTAGACAGAATTTTAAAAAAGTTACTCTATAATTCACTTACCAAGTAAAAGGTGTACAAGTAAAAAGTGTCCGAAATAGTTCACTTGCATCACCCGTTCCAGGTTGTCTTCAGTCATGTGCATTTCTCTGTAGCCTGGCATGCCAGCGTTGCACATTAGAATATCCAGTCTGGGTTCTTTTTCTATGATTTCTTTGGCGAATGCTCTGACTGATTTGAATGAGCCGAGATCCAGATATTTGCCTGAAATGAATTTCAAACATCTTCAACAAGTTCAAAATGTTTCTTTTGTATTCTCATTCAGCTTGTTTTATCTTCAGACACTTACATATTTACAAGGGATTTTTGGAAGTTGAACATGAAATATTTTTTTGTGGAATCCAAAAGTGATTGGGCCTGATTAATCGTGAATCAAATTTTGATTATTCACGGCTCTTGATTAGGCTCAGAAGCAAATTATTCCATCATATCAAGTCATTGGATTTGAAACGGTTAAATATTATGAATTGAAGCTTTTTCTATAAGAAAAAATAAATCGAGAGTTGAGATTTGACTCAGAAGTTGACTTTTCAACTCTATTCCAACTAAACTATAGTTTTTTTCGAAGAAATTAAACTTTGATAAGCTGTCACAAATTTTCTACTTGTCTGAGCTATTTCAAATGTTGACAAAGGGTAAATTGAAGTATTTTTCATGCAAAAAATCAAATCGTAAATTGTGATTTGACTCAGAAGCTGACAGAATTGGCAAAAACCCGGGTTTTTGAAAATTTTACTTAGCAAGTTACCCGCGGGTTAAGCATAACTCCATTAAAGCCAACCCGGAGCTGACTCGCTTTTGAGAAACCGACCCTAAGAAGCTTCAAAATTGAAATTATCGAACATTGAATATTTTCTAAAAATGACACTGAGACAGTTTTTGCCTCGCAGCTTCGTTAATTTTCATCCGATTCCAATGCAATTAAACTTAAATTAAAGCCAATCAAATTCTCTAAAAACCAATTAGTTAGGATTTTAATTTGGTTTTGACAGTTTTGCATCTGAGAAACTTTAAAGTTGAAATTATCGAACATTGAAAATTTTCCAAAAATAACACTGAGACAGTTTTTGCATCACATCTCCGCTAATTTTCATTTTTAATGAAGCCAATTAAATTCTCTTCAAGCCTGTTAATTACAATGTTAATCGAGCCTCAACAGTATTACAGTTGAAAAGCTTCAAAATTGAAATTATCAAACATTGAAAATTTTCCAAAAATGACACTGAGACACTTCTTGCCCCACAGCTCCGTTAATTTCAATCCGTAAATTAAATCCTTTATGAACCTGTTAATTACGATTTTAATTTGATTTCAACAGTACTGCAGCTGAGAAGTTTCCAAACTGAAATTATTGAAGATTGAAAATTTTCAAAAATGACACCGAAACAGCTTTTGCTTCAAAGCACCGTTAATTTTCATCCGAGTTTAACTTAATTATGCCTCATTCTCACTTGCGCGAAATTCGCTTTGTTGCGCGAAATTCGCTCTTTTCTGACATTGCTTCGACAAGTTGACGTTTTATGCGTGTATCAAATGTCAAATTTTCGAAGCAATGTCAAAAAAGAGCGAATTTCGCGCAAGTGAGAATTAAGCTTTATAGGTTCTAATTAAAGCCAATTAAATTATCTACAAACCTGCTTATTAAGATTTTGATGGAATTTTGAGGAATTTCATAAAATATTTATTATCAACTGATTTTAATACTCCGGCCCTTCGGGCCGTAATCTTTGGAATAAAAAGACGGCATTTTGTATCGACTATCCGAGCGACTATCAAAAAAAACAAGGCCTACTTTGAAATTTCAATTTTTTGACGTTTGTTGTATCATGAACAATGTTTCCATATGTTTTTTAAAATTCTGAGGAATTTCATGAAATCTTCTGGTGTAATTTCGAGAAATTCCATGAAATCTTATAGTGAAATTCCATGAGATTTTATGATGGAATTCCGAGAAATTCTCGTGGAATTACGTAGAATTTCTGCGGAATTCTCATAGAAGTATGTACATGAAATTTTAGTAAAATTCCGAAAAATTCTCGTCGAATTACATAGAATTTCAGTTAATTTCTGGAAAATTACTAAAAGATTTATTGAAATTGCATTGAATTTCAGTGCAATTTCGACAAAATCACACATAATCACATAAAGTTTATATAGATATTGATTGCCCTGAATTCCCTCTTGATAACTTGAATATTCAGTCAAATTTCGAAAATTCTCTTCGTAATTATATGAAATTTTAGTTAAGTTTCAAGTAATTCCATGAAATTTAAGTGGAATCTTGACAATTTCCGTCGATTTACAAGAAATTTCAGTGAAATTCCGAAAAATTTCCATGTTATTACATGTAGTTTTATTGGAATACCTAATGAAAATTTCCCGGCTAATAATATGGAATTTCAGTGAAATTCGGTAATTTTGAGAAATTTCCGTCGAATTAAATATAATTTTAATGAAACTCCGTAAAATTCTCAGGGAATTACATGAAATTTAAGTGGAATTTCAAGTAAGCAGCTTTTGGCTCTAATTTCAACGTAATTTAACTCAAACTAAAGCCAATCAAATTCTATATAAATTTGTTAATTTCCATTTCAATTTCGTTTCAATTCAATTGTAACGAAGTTACTATTTTTTTCCGCTACCCGCCACTGAAATACCGCATCCGAATCTTTGAATATAAAACTACAGGAAGGAGCGTTTTCTATCTGTCACTACAGACAACGCAGAGACGGAAACGGCGATTTTGAGCCTCCAAGTATGGACTCATCATTTGTTTTGGTGGTTCGCTGTGTCCTCATCAAGTGGATGTTTAATGGATTTTAGCAGTTTGAAGTAATAATAAGTACTGGAATTAATGAGAAAAGAGTGAGTCATAATATTGACAATCATATTTAAATAAATATACGCCACTGCCAAACCGGAAATACTAGTCGGCCATATGCAACCTCCACATATTTTGGTCGCGCAGATTCGAAGTTATGCTCCTTCCTGTAGTTTTATATTCAAAGATTTTCGGATCCTATTAGGGATACAATCGCCGCTACTGAATAACCGCACTGCTTCTACGCTACTCGACGTCGTTCCGTGACGACGCTACCGTGTCTTGTGAGTTCCAATTTCAACTTATTGCTCCGACTATTGGACATTTAATACTTCACTCAGCTACCTTACTGTTGTCCGTGAGCGATCTTTTTGTCGCTTTCATTGAATAACTCAAAGGGTCGAGCTCGAGCAAGTCCCGCCGAAACCGAAAACCGGCCGTCTAGCGGAAAGCCAGAAGGCTTTAAAAATTTGGCGCCCGAGCAGGGACCGCTTACTTTTGAAGTAGGGAGTTCTCTGACCGTATCCCCGATCTTGGGAAAATCACTGATTTTTTTTTTTCTCCTTTCATTGTTGGTTTCTTTATTTTTTTATTATTATTATTTTTTGAATTAATTCCCCGTCGCTGTTTACCGACCTTTCAAGATGAGCGATAGCGAAGCTGCGACAATCACGACTACGACCGTAACCACCACCACCGTGATTACCACCGCCCCGGTACCAAACCCCTTATTAAATGCCACAACCGACCCCAACGACTCTGGTGTACGGTGGATCTACAATCTCCGGAGACCTGAAGTTGTCGCGGAGTTACAGAAGTTCGCATTGAACACTACTGCCACTGTGGACAAGCTTCGAAGACGCCTGATTAAATTCATCAGGGATGGAAACTGTGCCTTAATTCTATCATAAACAACTAGTGATTATGTGTAGAGGAACAAATTACTTTCTAGATAAAACAAACTAAATAATTTTTTATGTTGCGATAAGGAGCTGACCTTCGAGGACTCACAGGTGACTAATAAACCAACACTTGTTAATTATTATTTTTTGTTTCCCAAATATATTCTTACAACATTTTAACATTGGACTTATTGTCATCATAGGGAAAATACTTAAATTAAAAAATTCAAAAACTGAAAAATTGAAAATATGACGGATCCTTTTAAAGAGCTCATATGCTCAAAATGTAATGTCAACTGTGTATTGTAAGATTGTGTTGAAAATTGATCAAGAGGAAGTTAAGGTAGAACATGCGAGACAAATCTATGAGTTGAACCAGATCATAAAGGGTACAGATGATATTATAACAAGGATGAGAAGAAGAACTTTGGACTTTGAGGATGACGTATTTGCTTCAGAGAAACAATCTGAAAAGAAACTCCAAGAATGTAAAACCAAAATAATGAATTTGGAGGAGGACCTCAAATCCACTAAAGAAGAACTTCTAGACAAGCAAGAAAAAATTAAAGAATCATTATTACCATTAAAAAAAAGTGAAAAATAAGTCGCAAGATTAACTAGAAAAGAATGCTTAGGGAGAACGCAAGACTTTGAAGATTCTGTTTCCTATATATACTGCGAGCTGTGACTCCTGGAGAAAATCATCGCACCACTGCTTATGGTGATGCTTATGTGCAGTGGTGCGATAATTTTGTCCAGGAGTATATTTAAGACTAAGCTTTGTCAATAAGGATCAATGTAATCTTTGACAATAAAGCATGTTTACTACTTACTACTACTCTTTGCTGAGAATAAAATTAAGACCTTGGAAAGAGAAAAGGTTGAAATTGATAAGGAAATTTCTTCAACAAACATTTCCCATTAAAAACAATAAAACAAAAAAGTAAAAAAACCTTGGGTTACCAAGGGAATAAAAACTTCGTCTAGGAAGTTAAGATTTTTGAACACCCTTAAAAAAAAACTTCCATACACTAACAAAATTATTAATGCAAAAAGCAAGAATAAAGAAATTTGGAATGTTAACAGTTTAAGAGGCAGTAATGTGAAGCCTGCTTATGAGACTGAAATAGATTCTTAACACATTCAATAATTTCTATTGCTCAGTGGTAGAAAACTTACTGTCTGGGGTGTCATCAGATATAGATCCTATGAGCTATCTGAGGAATGTTTCTGTTCCAAATTCTTTTGGCTTCTACCACACGGATGTTGGTGAGATAAAAACTATATTTAAGCAAATAAAAAATAAAAATTCATCGGGAATAGATGACCTCTGTCATTAAGGATATTTAGCAACTTGTCCAACTGTGTGCTGGAGCTGCTTGCTAGGTTTATAAATTTATCTTTTGGTATGGGTACCTTTCTCGAGAGTCGACAGCTTTGGTAAAGCCAATTTTCAAGGCCGGTAGCACTGACGATCCATCATGTTAACGCCCTATATCTCTGCTGCCAACACTCTCTAAGATAATGGAAAAACTTGTTAAGTCTAGGATGGTCTCTTTTCTTCGGACTCACGGGTTGCTGAATATCAACCAGTTTGGATTTCAGGACAAGAAGAGCACTAGTGATACAGTGTTCAACTTTCTTCAGAAACTGTATCTTGGCTTGAATCAGGGGGAGATCGCGGCTGCGGTCTTTTGCGATTTTTCCAAAGCCTTCGATTGTGTAAGCCGTAAGATATTACTCTAGAAACTCTTTCATTATGGATTCAGGGGTAACACCTTGAACTGGATTCAGTCTTATCTGACAGACAGAAAACAGAGTGTTAAGGGCCACAACGATGTATCATCGGTACGGAGCATTGAGCATGGGGTGCCCCAAGGATCAGTGCTTGGTCCCCTGCTCTTTTTGATTTTCATTAATGATTTAGCTTGCATCAATTACATTTTTTGCTGATGATACTACCATCTTTTGGCTGGGATCAGACCTTCACCTGGGAGATAAGATTGGGCAAGATATTCGCAAGGTAAAGCAGTGGTGTGACTCCAATAAACTAACTTTCAATATATCAAAAACAAATTTACTTTCCTTTGAGTGTTCTGTTGCAAATATAAGTTTAAATGATGAGCCACTTGGTGTATTCCAGGTTCTTGGGCTTAACTATAAACTCTAAGTTGAAATTTGGTGAACATATTAATGACCTGCGAAAAAAACTAGCTCAGGCATGTTATGCGTTGAGGACGGTTCGTTATGAGTTGGATCATGACATTGCAAGGGGTGTATACTTTGCACTGGTTGAGCCACTTCTCAGATATGGCATTGACTTTTGGGGTTTTACCAGTGGTCAACTAGTTAATTCAATTCTTGTTCTATAAAAACGGGCTGTTCGACTATTGTGTGGAGTCGGCTCTAGGGAACACTGCCAACCGCTGTTTATCTGAGAGGGTATTCTTACATTGACCTGTACTTTTATTTTACTGACGGTGGACATGGTTCACAAAAAATATAGAGGATCAGATAACAATAATGACACCAGGACAACTAGGTTCAACAGCAACAATTTAAGTCTGTGCATCCCAAGGAGCGTTAACAAAAAACTCAATAATATTGGGTCTTCAAAAAAAAAAAAAAACAATCAAAGATTGCTATAGTTTTTGAAACGTATGTTTCAGCAATATTTTTCTTTAATTTTGTCAATGAACTTTAAATAGAGGAACAATAATGTGACATACTTTTTCGTAATCAAAGCAATCTTTGATTGTTTTTTTTTTTTTTGAAGACCCGTTATATGAGGGGAAAAAGATGTGTAACCACCTGCCTCTCAAGATCAAATATCTAGACAATAGTGTCCTTTTTGCTAGAAAGGTGAAGCAGCTCCTGCTTTTAATAGTACATTATACACCTTGGGACTAAAGTGGTACTGGATTAAAAAACACTTTAGTCCTGAGGTGTATACACGATTTTATGCACTTTACTTTATTTCCCGGGGATTAAATGAAACAGGGAATAAAAGGGTACTTTTAATCCCCGGGAAATAAAGTAAAAATTTAATCCCCGGGAAATAAAGTGAAATTTAATCCCGGGGATTAAAAGACCCACTTTACTCCCTTGAAACAGGGATTGAAAGGGTACTTTTAATCCCTGAAGTGCATAAAAGCGTATGGAAGAATTTTATGGTGATAGGTTCTAGCTTTAGTGATTGTATGAATTAGGACGTCTAAAGTACCTGTCCCAATTAAGGCTACGTTGAGAAGTTTTATTTTTTCCTAACATTATCCACCAAACCCAACAAAAATCCCGAGCTTATATGTGAAGTGTTTTGCTTCTATTACTTGAATATAAACTCCAATTTTTTTTAAATATATATATGGTTTTTCCGTTAAACAAAGTAAGCGTTTTTGTTACCATTGGCCTTATTTGGATCACTATGCTCCTAATAAGGCCACCATTAATAAAAGTTGAAAATAAATACAATTATTTATAAAAATATCATTCTTTGAGAAATAGTACGCAAAATAGAACTTCGTCGCGCCCGATAAATTTCCAGCATCGACCTCAAACAAGGATACTGGCAGGTGCCGCTCGCTAAAGATAGTCGACCGATAACCGCTTCTACCGTTCCGTTTCGGGGATTATTTCAGTTCAAGGTAATGCCGTTCGGCTTACACTCCGCCCCAGCGACCTTCCAGCGCTTGATGGATGACGTCATTAGTTCAGTCATGGACCAGCACTGCTTCTGCTATCTGGATGACATTATAATACGCGGGGACACGTTTGATTCACACCTGCATAACCTGAGCCGAGTATTTCACCGATTGCGACAAGCCAACTTAGGCCCAGTTGTACATACAATCTTGGTTCAAAACAGAGTTCAGCTGAACTCGACTGGTACTTGAAATTACCCATTTGAAATGCATTGCTGTTAAAATTGATAGAATTTGATTAATAGCTAACAGCAATGTATTTTAAATGGGAAAGCTCAAGCATCAGTTGAGTTGAGTTGAACTATGCTTTGAACCGAGATTGTACAACTGGGCCTTAAAGGTTGAACCAGAGTTTCCAGTTTGGTAGAAGGTCGTTAAAGTACCTAGGACACATGGTGACCCCAGATGGTATCCATATCGACCCCGACAAGATTAGTTCTATTCGGGAACTCCCACACCTTACTACGGTTCGTGGGGTACGATGATTCTCGAGTACCGCTTCCTGGTACCGACGATTTGTATCTGGATTTTTCCAGATAGCGGCGCGCTCGAATCGACTTCTCAAAAAGGGTGTCCCTTGGAACCTGAGCTGTCTAGACCATGCAAGTTGTTTTTTCCAAACGCCTTGTAGACAACGGTTTTATCCGAGAACCACAACGTCCCAACTGCTGGTCATATGGGTATTAAGTATGTCCGAGGCTGTAATTCCTGCCAAATATAGAAGATATCGCAACAACAAACGCCAGGAAAAATGCAGATGTCCAAGGTTCACGACCCCTGGGCAACCGTCAGTACCGATCGATCCTGCTGGTGGGGCCGTTACCCCGTTCACCTAAAGGAAATTGTTTCATTGCCATGTTTCAGGACCGTTCCACCAAATAGATTCAGCATAGGGCGATCCGAAATGCTACAGGAAAGGCGGTAAGCCAAGCCCTATATCAGGAGGTCGTCATGCGATTTGGCCGTCCAAAAACCGTAATCACTGACAATGGCACGTAGCCTGTATACCTATTATTCACAGGAGTTAGGGATCAACCACCGACTGACTCCTCCATATACACCACAAGCTCACCCAGTGGGGCTAGCTAACAAAACCTTAAAAACAATTTAAAAACAATTATTGCTCAGTTTTGTGACAATGATCATAAGAAATGGGACGTCTACATACCAGAGTTGATCTTCGCCTATAGCAGGGATGTGCCGTAGACTATGGAATCTACTTTACGCGGTTTGTCTACTCGTTATCTACGTATTGTTTACATCCACATTTTTTTGAAAGTTTGCATTGCATTAAATTTATATTGTATCAAATTAGACATTATCTGCAGTTTAATTAACATTACAAAGCAAAAAACAAAACAAAGCAACAACAGAAACATAACCTTAAAGGCCTGCCAACTGTCAAAAATTGTATACTTTACGCGTTGTCTACATATTTTACTCGTTGTCTACATAGATTACATAGTTTACATTGTCTACGCGTTGTTTACACCAGACGTAGACAATCTTTATTTACGCGTAGATGCCCATCTCTGACTGCAGGTATGGTTCTAATAGGATCGGTCATAATATATATAATTATATGTACAGTGTGTCCCGCTTAAGGACTGACCACCCTTCTAAAATTTTTATTTTTTAACGGATTCGATTCATTTTTTTTTTTGTCTTACGTCTACTCGAATTTGGCACTTATTTGGCTAATAATTTTTTGTACAGGGTGTCTACATTTATAGGGTCAAATTTCAATAAGTACTATTAGGGATTTTTTTAGAAAAAATCTGATAGTAGATTCTTGTTTAGAATGGTCTAAAACCAAAATGTACTAATTTTTGTTTCGATTTGATACAGGGTGATTACAACAAATTTTCCAAATTTAATAGACCAAACCGAAAAAATTTCATATTTTGAGGCCTTGAGAACAACAAAACTTGATACAACATAGTTTTAGAACATCCTTAATCAAAATTTGTAGTAAGCTTGTCTCAAAATATAACATGTTTGCGGTTTGATTCATTAAATTGTGAAAATTTGATGTCATCACCCTGTATCGTATTGAAACAAAAATTAGTGCAGTTGGGTTTTAGACCATTCTAAACAAGAATCTGCTATCAGATTTTTTCTAAAAAAATCCCTATAGTACTTATTCAAATTTGAGCCTATAAATGTGGACACCCTGTAAACCAGTGCAGCCGTAGAAATAAAATTATGAGCCTAATGTGACAAATTCGAGTAGCTACAAGACAAAAAGAAAATAAATTGAATCGGTTGAAAAATAAAAATTTTAGAAGGGTGGTCAGTCCTTAAGCGGGACACACTGTATACACATATGCGATTCCTTCCCGATTCACGAATGTAATTAATTAGTTATTAGCGGTTATTAAACTACGTATTCTCTATATAGAGTGTGTATTATTTATACCGCCTTTCCATACTCCACCAAAGTATTATGGAATATTACCCGTCCAGTTGATGCGCACAAAGAGAAATGCGTTTCAAGAAACATAAGTACAAATACACAAACATACAGAAAAGGGTACAATAAAATGACATCTCGGCTGGAGAGAAATTCAGAAATGATTTCTGACAGACGTACAGGCCCCAAAGGCAAAGCCAATTTGAATAAAAAAAATGAGAATACTTAGCCACACCACAATGTTAACAAATAAGCTGAAAAACGAGTACAGTTTTTAGGTAAAAACTAGACGAAATATTTTTTCAAATCTATTTTCAGACATATCAAAAGGCCTTTGACGATTTCTGTATTTTTCGAAGAAAAAAGACATTTTCATCAGGTTTGATATTTATCGAAATCATTGAATTACTTCCAAACGGCAGCATATTTTTCACTAATAAATAATTAATTAATGGCCTCAAACCAAACTGTTAAAAATTGGAATGAAAGGACCACGCACACTTCTTATGGAATTTCTGACCGCGATCACATTTAACCAAATTTTAGTATGTTATAGATTTCACCTTGCTGATTAATGACTACCATGGGCACAACTTAATCCTATGAGTAGTTTTTGAAGTACAGGTAGCTTAATGTCCAAGAAATGTACACATTTTATATGCATTTCATCTACCTGTCACCTACGTGTGAGGATAACTGTCCATCCTGTGGGCTGGAACTCTGTAACGGATAGAGATCGTTATCCCGATCGCTATGGCACTTGCTGTCTTCTTCTCTCTTCTCGAAATCAATAGAGAGGGGACGTCAATAGAGATAGAGAAAATATCTTTATTCGTTACAGAGTCCCAGCCCTTGGTATATTATCAGGTGACAGGTATATGTAAATGCATATAAAATGTATATTATCCATTCACAATCCTATGTCCACAGGTACAGATAAAGTTTATCACCTTTCAATGCTTTTTTGATAGGGAAAGGTGATAAATTTACCTGTACCTGTGGACATCGGATTGTGAATAGAATATACATTTCTTGGACATTTTAAACTACCTGTATGTATCGCAAAAACTAGTCATAGGATTGTTGATGTGCCCATGGTAGTTATTGATCAGAAAGGTGAGATCTATAACATGTATATGTCGGTCATTATCATTTTCCATTCACTAAACAAAGATAGTTAACTCATCGGTGAAGTCACCGATAAGAATAAAAACGAGGTAATACTGAAATTTGATTAAATTTGACCACCATCAGAAATCCTATAAGTGTCCTTTACCTAATATAACCGAAAACATGAATACTCGATAACTTGAAACTAGTGGAGAAACTTCTATAGAGTCGAGTCGATAATTCGAATGACGTGATACATTTTAGATCGAAAATTGACATTTTCGATCAATTCCAATCGATATCGAGTCTCGTGATCCAGGCCAGTTTCACCTGAGAAGCTTCAAAAATTATCGAACATGGAAAATTTGCCAAAAATGACATTGAGACAGTTTTTGCCCCGTAGCTCCGTTAATTTTCATCCGATTTCAATGTAATTAAGCTCTAATTAAAGCCAATTAAATTCTCTACAAACCTGGTGATTAAGAGCTCTACCATTTTACATACAATTTTCAACATTCATTACTCACCAACTATATTATTATTCTGACTCTTCTTCCGAACTTCTTCGGCGGCCTTCGCCGAATTCGAAATATCCGCAATTATAACACGACATCCTTTGGCCGCCAAAGCCAAAGCAGTTTCATATCCGAGACCTAAGAACAATCACTTATCAATTAATATTAACCAGAGGAATAAAAAAATAACTTCTACCTGAAGCTCCTCCAGTTACAATGGCAGTTTTCCCAATCAGACAAACTTTACTTCTGCACCAAAAACACCATAATCTGCTTAGAATTACGAGCAAACATAGCACTAGTAGAATTGTTATTAGTAGACCCATAATACTTCACACTAAAAGTTTACAAATTCAAAAAAGCTCTTTAAACTCGATGTTTAATTATAATATAACATTACATTGTTTTTCAATTATGTTTATGTTGTAATTTAAAAATTAGTGATTATGGCTTACCTTGTAAAATATCAGCTAATGTCTGGCGCTTTACGCACTCACACACACACACTTCTAATAAATAATAATTATTTTTTTTTCCAAATATTCGCTTATAAAAACAACATTTCATTAATCATTATTCGTAGAATAATTAAGTAATTAAGGTATTCAATGAATTTTTTATAGAGTCGGAATGTACCTAGTCGAATACATTTTACTTTCAAAGTTTCAAATAAGAATTTTCTATTGATTTACTACTGCCCAGCTCTGTATAGAAAAATATTATTCAAAATTAATTATATTATGTAGGTTTTTTTTCTATGAATAGTTGGACTTTTGTGACCATAACGAACACCGATAATTACAAAAAAAAATAAAAATTATTTACTTCCCATCTGGTTTATTCAAATTTCATTAACATTTAATCTCATGAGCTTGCAACTTGGTACATTCAATTGATTTGTGCCAAAGTTCCTTGCAAAACCCTTCACTCAGCTGTAAAGGCTTCAAAAACCGCATCCCTTCATAGAAAAATTGCCCTGTTTGCCCTTCAACATTTTCAGAATGCGCCACATGGATCAGAGTTTGAGCACCTTGTTCAGGAGTCTATGAAAAATGCATTATTAAAACACGAATCCAAGAAACTTCAATATTACCTTTCCATATAAATAAACCAAACAAGTAACGAAAATCCCAATAAAATTGAAATCTCTCTTCGTTGCTGACCAAATAGGAGTTTGAACTCCTCCAGGTAGTACTGTATTTACCGTAACTCCAGTACCTTTGAGTCTTTCCGCAAACATTTTAGCAGCCGCTGCTAGACAAAGTTTAGAGTTGCTATAAGTACCTCCATTCATTTTGGTTAAAAATCCGTGATAATAATCAGGATTTGGATTAAGGTTTTCAATAGTCAAATCTGATACGTAAGCTGTTATTGAGCTGGTAAATATTATTCTAGTTGAAGGGGCTTTTTTTAAAAGATCTAATAAAAGATGTGTTAGTAGAAAATGGCTGAAATAATTCACTTGCATGGTCCTTTCTAGGCCATCTTGAGTAAATGTACGTATCCTGTAATCGCCAATGCCTGCATTGCATAGTAAAATATCTAGTTTTGGTTCAGTTTCCAAGATTTCTTTGGCAAATTGCCTTACTGAATCAAATGATCTCAAATCAATGTGTTTACCAATTATATTTGGATTATTACTGATTTTTTTTATTTGTTCTACTGCTTCGTTTAAGTTGGTAATATCGGCAATTATAATGCGACATCCTTTTGAGGCCAAAGCCAATGCAGTTTGGAATCCAATACCTTAAAAACTTGCTTAAGAAAACTTTTAATAATATAGAATTGTAGGCCTTCTTACCTGAGGCTCCGCCAGTTATTAGGGCAGTTTTCCCAATTAAACACACTTTACTCCGGCACCAAAAACACCATAATTTATTAAAAATTACGAACAAGAAAAGGCCTAAAACCAACGACGTAAACAGGCTCATTGTTACTCAAGTTGGACTGAACTTTTGTAGTCCAAAAAAAAAAAAAACCCAATTAACTAATTATTGCTGTCTAATTATAGTTAACCCAACAATAGGACAATATTGAAAAACTTTCAATTTTTAAGTGTGTAGGTATTTTTCAACCTTGACATTAAAATCGGCAAAGATTATCATAAATTATACGAGGTGTGAACCGAAATATAATATAGAATAAGTTCCCTTAGGGATAAGACAAAATAAAAAGATCAGCTGCACGTATATATATAAATTCTGCGAGAGCCAGAAGGTAATATCTTCCCGACGGAAATAAGGCCCAGAGAGTGATTGTCCTCATCGCCTCAAGACAGGAGTCCATCTCTAGTTTTCGGATTGGTGTCGGGCGGAAAAGTGTTTTCCACCAACGAACTCAATGTTAAGAATAAAAATTTCAAGTTTTTTTAAAAGGGTGGATTGTTATTTCAAAATCTTCAAGCTTCAATATCTGAAATGAGAAACAGCTTCCAAATTTAATTTGAAGCTTCAAATTAACTTTTCCACAAAGTCGAAACTTCATTTTGAAGTGTTTTGTGAATGAAACTCACAATACTTTTACTGATTTATTTAGGGGGCAGGAATTTACATATAAGGGGACATATATTACTTAAAAGCTAGTTACCGACTGCTTTTCCCAATTGTCAGCCTCTCGTTCGTTCCTGCATCGCATGCACGTTATCCACCTTATGTGGCATGGTTGCCACATTGCATATAACACAATTCATAAATCCTAAAAGTTTCAAGTGACTGTGATCATTGGAAGTATTTTGCACAAGTGATTTTTGCAGATTTTAATCATTTTTGCATGCATTAACGTGAGAAAAAGCATCGAATTAAGTTTTCTACAAAGAGGAAACTTCAATTTATAAATCCTGAAAATTTCAAGTCACTTTGATCATTGAAAGTATTTTGCACAAATGATTTTTGCAAATTTCAATCATTTTTGCATATAGTCTAGGAGGCAGTGACGATTTTCGGTACTTATTTTCCCAGTCACGAAACATGGATAGAATTGTAGGGTTAGTAATTCTAATCAAAATTCATATATTTTTAGGGGGGGTTTTCCGATGGGTTGAGGCGCAAAATGCGTTAGAGCTTACGAATGCACGGCTCTTTTTTTTTGCAGTGATAAAACTAAGTCAACTTATCAGAAGTATACTGAAGTTATGTAAAAAAATAGTCCGGCTAATGTGTGAATATGGATAATATGTCTGGCAAGTGAAAAATTGAAGATCCGAAAAACTTCAGCCAGACTAACTTTCCACTACCTGAGATAAGCCAAATTGCTATGTTCATATACTTTATGTTCTATTGTAGTGAGTGTGAAATATTTATGACTGGGAAAATAAGTGTACTTGATTTTTCATTGATCTAGTGAACCCATCCGAAAATTTTTGCGAAACTCAAATATTCTTGTTTTGTATCACCAAGAGAACAAACTATTTAATATACACCAACTGGGAAAATAAGTGCTAAAAAATTTCACTGCCTCCCGGACTAATACAATTAACGTGAGAAAAAACTTCAAATTAAGTTTTCCACAAAGAAAAAACTTCAATTCATAAATCCTGAAAGTTTCAATCCACTATGATCATTGGAAATATTTTGCACAAGTTATTTTTGCAGATTTTAATCATATTTGCATGCATTAACGTAAGAAAAAGCTTCCAAATTTAATTTGAAGCTGCAAATCAACTTGAAATTAACTTCTCCACAAAGAGGAAACTTCAATTTATAATTCCTGAAAGTTTCAAATCGGTGTGATCATTGGAAGTTTTTTGCATAAGCAAATCACTTCAAATTGAAATTAGGTAGTCTAAACAAGAGCCGAGAATAGTCAAAAGTTGAATTTATATACATAATTTAATTATACAGTGTCCCCCATAATGTTCACTACATATGGAATTATTTTTTTTATTTGTAGAATATGGATTTTTTTTTATGTGCGATCGATCCTACAGGTCCGATAACCTTGAAGTACATTTTGACATTAGTCACGAGATCACTGTTGTGGCGGCAAATTCGAAATTTTAGATATGGAAACGCGAAACTTCAAATTAAATCAAATATATTTCAATTAATAGGTGGATTTACAGCTATATCTTATACAAAAGAAAAACACTGTATGTACACCTAGATACAATATCTATGTGTGTGTACAGGGTGGTCCAAATTGGACACTTTCTTATGGAAACACCCCTTTATTTTCAGATATAGAAAAAAATTAACCCCCCACTCTGAGGCTCAAATTTCATGAAATCTTGATAAGTGCAAACTGCATTTTGATATATTCAACTGTTTAACTCTAAAAATAAAGGGTGTTTCCATAAGAAAGTGTCCAATTTGGACCACCCTGTAAATAAAATAGTGTATACACCTTAGGACTAAAGTGTTGATTGTAACAAAGCATCATAAATGGATGCCCTCATACCAGTTGTATTTATATTTATTCCCATCCATAATCCACCCATTATTTTGTGGTGTTAATGTTGTAGGCTCTTTAAAATTGGCATTACTCCATATACTCGCAATATATCGTGAGCGTAAAAAATACTCATGTAATTCGGTCCTACACGGTGGTAAATTTGATGAATCATAATTAAAATATTTTTTTTTTTTTTAAATGGATCATTCACATTTTTTGGTTTATTCGTGACAATGAATTTATTAAATCTTGTTTCGTTAACAGTAGCTGCTTTGCTGCCATAAATTTCACTGGTATTACCTGTTATATGATCACTCCTCAGTCTTTCGAAGGCTTCTTGATACTCGAAATTATTATTAAGAATTGTGAATGGCCGTTTTTTCCCCTTTTTTAAAAAATTATGGATTGTAATCACAACCGGTCAGCGTATGAAATCCTGGTAAACTTAACGATAAAGATTGTCCGAGTTTGGCATAAAGCTCACTTATCACAATGCATCTTTTTTTATTTCCAGTACCTTATTCCGTAAAAATGTTTAATGCGTCACTAGATAAATGGTCCATGTTCCCAAGCATTATAATTATTGAAATATCAGTATCTGATGATTTAATTAAGACATTCAGATTATGTCTTCATTGATTCGACATGGCACCATTTCATCAGTATTCCAATGTTTTATTAAAAATTCCACAAAAGCCTCTTTAAATGATATGTTTTTTAGTTCTTTATTGAAATCTACAGGTATAACCTGTTCTGGGCCTGAGATTATTATAATTTATGTTTTTTTCTTCACGTCGTAGATTACGTAAAGTTGATGATGATTTGTTTTGAAATATTGCCGAACGTTCTTGGAACATTTTGCATAATATATATAAAATAAAATCCATCGACAACCATAATATCGAACCGTGACGGTGTATCTGACATGTCCATGCTTTTTTCCAGAAACGTTACTATTGCAGATTTTGGAGTTTTATGTATAGATTCGTCCATATGGCACAAGACATCGGAATTGCTGTAATTGAATAAGATAGAACTTTCTCTAAATCAACTTCCAGGTCTATTGATAGTGCAAGCAATCGTCCGAATAAATTCCGTTGAACACGTATTTCTTCAACCTAAATGTAAGTAAGATGGCCGGTGTTGACAAGTGTGCCAAGTGTGCTCGTCTTTTGGCATCAAATTCCACTGCCATTGTGTAACTTGTGGTATCACAAAGGTTGTACGGGTCTTTCAACCCCAGATTTTAATCTAATATATAAAATTCTCATGTTACAGTTTTAGTTACCTTCGTCCTCCGAAACGGCTTTACCGATTTTTATGAAATTTTATATGTATATTCGGTAGGTCTGAGAATAGGTTTTAGGCTATTTTTTACACCCCTAAGTGATAAGAGTGGTCCACCCCCAATTTTTTAAATTTTTCCTTGCTTCTCACCACTACATAACTCAACTTATTTTTGTTTATTCCATTCAACCGACGTAACAGTATTATCTTATAGCATTTTCTGCTTTACTGCTCCCAGAGCGCTCTCTATTTGGGCGGTGACGTCACAGATCTCTGCGGAAGTGCTCCGAGAGCGATTATGATCCAAGCGAGGCACCCTATTTGAAATCAATAGCCAAATGATGTAAAATTTTAATTTTAGGTGATTTCTGATCCAGAGAGTGAACATTAGTTTTCTTCATCCAAGGCCAAATTCACTATTGAAAAAAACTGAATTTAATTCATCTACTAGATACGTTAACACAACATTTAATAGGTATTTAATAATTCATAGGCGGTACGAAGTTCGCCGGGTCAGCTAGTAATAATATATAATAATAATAATAAAGTTCTAGCCCTAACACGTAGAACCGACGCCCATAAATGGATTTGCGTAAGTTGTGAAAAGGTTAAGGTTAGGTGTCGTTCATCCTTATCACCTTGCTTATCACCATCATCAGCTGCTGACCCGGATAAGATAGTCGCTAAAGGAACATGACGGGCCAAATGCCAAAAAGCAACCATCCTAGCCAACTATAGTCGGGTCAACTGTCAATGCCTAGCACAGATGATATTCCAAAAATTGGGGTTAAAATACAGAACAGATTGGTAAATAAACAAAATATTGATATGTCCGATTTTGTCCTGATCATTTTGAATATTTTCAATTCCATGAAGGAACAGAATGATAAACTGGCGGGTCTGATCGAGGAAATTAAGGTGTTGAAATCGACTGAATTGAAGAGTGAGTTTGATGACCTTAGATTGTAGGTCGTTGAACTTGGAAATGAATTAACCCAGATAAAATCGCAAGTAGCAATTAATCAATCCACGAACCCACAAGCAGATTTACAAACTGAAGTGTACGGCGAAATGCAGGATCGTGCGAACAGATCCAAAAATGTTATTCTCTATAATGTTCCTGAGTATGGTTCTGAAGATTCCAAAGTGAGAATTGAACATGATATAGGGTGTGTAACTGACACGTTCACGGCAATTGGAATCGACTGCCCCCACTTTAAAGCATTCAGGTTGGGAAAAGCCAACAATGGTGGTCCAAGACCATTAAAAAGTCGTTATGTTTGATAGTGC